GTGGCGTGGCTTGTTGGGCGTGGCAGTGGAATGATACTGTAAAATCTCCATTCCCACCCCACTCCAGGGGGAAGGATACTGCAAAATCCCCCTTCCCTCCCCACCCCACTAGCCTGCTTTCCAGCTCCCTTCTCCTGTGGAAGGCAACCAGAGAAGACCCAGCCGATCAGCTGGGACTCGGGAGGCAGAGAATAGATGGGATTGGCAGGGCCAGTCAGAGGTGGGATTTGCCGGTTCTCCAAACTACTCAAAATTCCCGCTACCGGTTGTCCAGAACTGGTCAGAACCTGCTGAATGCCACCTCTGCTCAAGATGTAGCTGCTTTGCAATATTGAATTCTACCAATTTGAAGCAACATGATCATTTCTGTTTTATATTATATGTAGCCAAGCTGCCTATATTGAATATTTTGGGCTTGGTGCATCAAAAATTTGGAAAACACCACTCAAAAAGGCCACCCCTTGCAGGTCTCCAAGGAGTCCAAGCCGTGGGGAATGGCTTGATTGCTCCCAGGATCTGCCACACACTACTGTAAGTAGTCCTCAACTTACAACCACAACTGAGCCCCAAATTTATGTTGCTAAGTGAAAAATTTGTTAAGTGAATTTTGCCGCCTTTTGCGACTTTTCTGGCCGCATTTGTTAAGTGAATCGCTGCAGTTGTTAAATTAATAAGCTGGTTGTTAAGTGAGTCAGGTTTCCCCATTGAACTTTGCTTCTCAGAAGGTCGCAGAAGGGGGTCGCAGAACCCAGGGCAACATTGCAATTGTCATAAATGTGAGTTGCTTTGTCAAGCATCCGAATGTAAATCATGTGGCCATGGGGATACTGCATTGGTCATAAGTCTGAAAAATGGCCATCAGTCACTTTTTTCCAGTGTCGTCGTAAGTTCGAGCGGTCATTAAGTGAACTGTTGTAAGTTGAGGACTACCTGTACTTTCAGTTGGCATTTCTTTTTCTGATGACAGGCCCCTGCAATCTATCCGAGGCTGCTTCGGATCATGTGAGGACTTCATTCTTGAAGCAACTTTGGAGAATTCTCTTCTGAAAACGGCATGAAACACCTTGTTCTCACATGGTTTTTTGGGAGGGTCGGAGGACTGGAGACTAAAACATATGAAGAACAGTTGCAGGAACTGGGCCTGGCTAGTCTAGTGAAGAGAAGGACCAAGGGAGACATGATAGCAGTGTTCTAATATTTGAGAGGCTGCCACAGAGGAATGTGGGGTCAAGCTATTTTCTAAAGCGCCTGAAGGCCAGACAAGGAATAATGGATGGAAACTGGACAAGGAGAGATTCAACCTGGAAATAAGGAAGAATTTTCTGACAGTGAGAACAGTCAACCCATGGAACAGAAGTTGCCCTCGGAAGTTGTGGGAGCTTCATCACTTGAGACTTTCAAGAAGAGACTGGACTGCGATTTGTCAGAAATGGTGTAGGGTCTCCTGCTTGGGCAGGGGGTTGGACTTGATGACCTACAAGGTCCCTTCCTACCTCCGTTAAGCTGTCCACCATAGAGCATGGCTCTCTCGTGCAACTTTTGAAGGGTCTGGAGGCCACATGAGAGCACCCATTCTTGGATAGCCCTCTGAAAATCGTTTGAGAACAGAGCATGCTTTCGAGAACAATTGTTGCCAGATATTGGGGAATACTGGCATGTCACCCAAAACATCCTGGTGTGTCATCTTTGACATGCATGTTGTAGTTTTGCTGCCACAAGGTTAAGTAGTTTTTGAAGCAACCAAGTATCTCAAACTTTTATCAATAATGGCTGTGAGTCTCGTAAAATTGGTTTCATCCAAGCAGACTCACTTAAAAGCCATGCCTCAAAGGTCATAAAATCGAGTGTGGCTTGCTTAACAACTGCCTTGCTTCGTCCCAGGAATTCTGGTCCCGTGGTCATAAGGACTACCTGTATGTATCAGCGGATGACTAAACTCTGTATTAAAATCATTTGATGCCTACGAAATAGAGTTGAAAATGTACAGGCAACACGGTTAAATTTTTAGAAGCCAGAAAAAAGTGATTGTGTCATGTTTTTAAATGGTCAGAGGGCAAAACGACACTTCCTGAGGAAAATGAAAACAGGAATTTGGGCCCAGCATTGAACATATGCCTGTTTTTGAAATAATTGCAAGTTCATGCGTGTGTATAGATAAGATTATTAAATGTTTTCTGTGAGAGGAAGCTAGGGTGCGTTTAAGACTTTAAGTGTTTAATCATTTTGCCTCTACAGGTAATCCTCGACTAACAACCACAACTGAGCCCCAAATTTATGTTGTTAAGTATGAGACATTTCCCCCATTGTATGACCTTTCTTGCCGCAGTTGTTAAGCGAATCATTGCAGTTGATAGTCACATGGTTGTTAAGTGAATCCGGCTTTCCCATGGACTTGTCAGAAGGCCGCCAAAGGGGATCACATGAATTTTGGTCACATGATGCTGGGGATGTTACAAAGGTCGTAAGTGAAAAACAGTCAAAGTCACTTTTTTCAGTGCCTTTGTAACTTTGAACAGTCACTAAACAAAGTGTTGTAAGTCGAGGGCTACCTATACTAAGGAAGATACTCTTCCCAACAAGTTGTTTTGGCTACTTAATTAAGATTGAATTAGGATCCCAGAGAGGAAAAAAAATGTGTTATCCCAGTAAGTTGAATGTATAAATAGTTCTTATTCCCCAAGGTGGTGAATTACGGGTAATTTATATATTCCTTTTCTCTTTGGCCATTTTCATTTTGATGGAACCAATCTAGTTATAAGGTAGTCCTAAGTGGGTCGTATTCAGTAGTGGTATGCTACCGGTTTGGAGCGGTTCGATCAAACCAGTAGTAAAAAAAGCCTCAACGATCAACTGAGAGGAGGAAAAAAAGACTTGCTGAGAGGAGAAGGAACAGAAAAGCACAGGATCTGCCCTCCCACGTGTCCCTGCGCTTTTCTCTTCTTTATCCTTTCGGCTGATTGGTGCTGGGGAAAGCTGCCGGTAGTGGAACAGGTAGGATCTCACTGCTGGTCATATTCATTCTGTGATGTTATACAGACACTCTTACGACAACAGTTGGGACCAGAAAATTATAAGTAGTCCTTGACTTGCAATAGTTCATTTAGTGACCGTTTGAAGTTACAACGGCAGTGAAAAATGTGATGTATGACCTTTTTCATCATTATTATTATTACCTTTATTGTCAGATTACAACATGTGTACAATGAGATTGGCTCACACTTAACAACCATTGCCGCTTCCCCATGGCCTCATGATCAAAATTCAGACACTTGGCAGCCGACTCATATTTATGACGGTTGTGTCCTGGGGTCATATGATATCCCTTTTGTGAAATTCTGACCATTGGAATCAGCGGGGAAGCCAGATTCATTCAACAACCGTGTCGCTAACGTAACAACTGCAGTGATTTACTTAACATGCCAAGAAAGGTTATAAAACGGGAGGGAAACTCACTTTAACAAAGGTGACGCTTAGCAACAGAAGTATGGGGCTCAATTGTGGACGTAAGTCAAGGACTACCTGTACATTTTTTTTTTAGTGCTGTCATAATTTTGAATGGTCACTAACTGAATGGTCATAAGTTGAGAACTACCAGTACAGGTTGTCCTCAACTTACAACAGTTCATTCAGTGACTGTTCAAAGTCACAACAGCATTGATGTAAGTGACTCGTGACCGTTTTTCACTCTTACGACCCACTGCAGCATCTCCATGGTCACGTGATCAATATTCGCCCACTTGGCAACTGCCTCATATTTATGACGGTTGACGTGTCCCGGGGTCATGTGATCACCAGCTGTGAACCTCTGACAGGCAGAATCAAAAGGGAAGCCAGATTCACTTAACAACCATGTTGCTAACTTTTAAGAACTGCAGTGACTCACTGAACAACGGTGGCAAGAAAGGTCCTAAAATTCACTTAACCAATTTTCCCCCCCTTGCTACAGAAATTTTGAGCTCAAATGTGGTGGTACGTGAAGGACTACCAGTACTGAACAGGGAGCTGCCTATATCTTAATTGGTGCACAGATGGCTTGTTTTAGCATGGAGATAATTGTGCAAAATACCAGAAAATATTATTTTCCTTTTCTATTGAGGTCTCCAATAATTCTTTAAAAAATAGTTTCAGAAAAACTGGTATATATATACACAGAGGTGGGCTGCTGGGGATTTGCAGGGGTTCGGGAGAGCCCCTCACTAAGATTCTATGCAGTTTGGAGAACCCCCAAAATCCCACTCCTGGCTGGCCCCGCCCTCCCCACCCCACCCCTCCCCTCCCCGGAGTCCCCACGCGGCCTGTTTTGGATGCAGGTAAGTGCAGGGCGCTCGGGGAGGCTGAAAAACGGGCCTGTTTGGGAAGGCCGGAAATGGGCCTGTTTCCAGCTTCCAGAAAGCCTCCAGAGCCCAGGGGAGGCCATTTTTGTGCTCCCAGAGGCTCGAGGAAAGCCTCCGGAGCCTGGGGAAGGTGAAAACGCCCCCCCCCCCCCCCCGCCACCATGGCCACGCCCATCCGGCAACCGGGCAGAGAACCCGTTGCTAAATTTTTTGAAGCCCGCCCCTGCCTGAATTGACATGCGCTAATTACGTAGAATGAAATAATAAATCGTCTGAAAAAAATTAGAAACATCTCGAAAAGTCCCTATCTCGTTAAAAAAAGGCAGGTTACAGATTCACCGCCTTCTTAAAAAAATAATTTAAAACTTCATACACTTAATATTCTTTTTTTTTTTTTTGACTCGGTTAAAAAAAAGAATTCATTCTTTCCGGGTCGCTTTTAATGCTCTGTGTGACTATGCGATATCGTAATTAAAAATACATTGAAAGACTTTAAGCCTGAGATAATTCCAGTGTGTTTCCTTGTATAACAGCCTCTCTTCTCTGTTGTTCGTTTCCTTACCTTGATTATTTCCCCCCACCCACCCCTCAATCTTTTCTTTGTATCATGGCTTCCATGACATTTTTTTCCCTTTCTTTTCCCTTTTTTTTTTGCTGTTTGCAAAGACTCTTGGGAGGATTTGACAGATTTGGTGGAGCAATTGCGCGATGATACAGAAGGTGCGTGCCACACCAACATCTTCCTGCTCTCCTCTACATCCCATTTGCCATGGCTTTTGTCGTCTTTTGAGCTGGGTCCACGGGTTGTCACTGCAGAGTCCATGCACATCTGTTGCCCATATTGTTCTGCTATTTTCTCGGGTTAAAACTACACATTTTCTCTTAATGTAGTCCGTCTCCATTGCATTCTTAATATGCACCTATCATGCCTCCATTTATTCATTTTATTTCTGGGCCACCATTGGGCAGCATCCGAAGGAGCCCAGAATCATTACAGATACATTTAATCATGGATAAATAGAAATAAAATACATTCTATTGGTTGACACTACATACTGGTCTCCTCTAAAGGCTAATATATGCAGGTAGTTCTCAACTTACAACCACAATTGTGCTTAAAATTTCCTCTGGGAAGTGAGACAGTTGATCAATGAGATTTGCTCTGTTTTATTACCTTTCTTGACACCGTTGTTAAGTGAATCCTTGCAGTTGTTAAGTTAGCAACACGGTTGTTAAGTGAATCTGGTTTTTCCCATTGTCAGAAGGTCGCAATAGGGGATCACTTGACCCCAGGAGAATACAACTGTCATAAATATGAGTCAGTTGCCAAGGGTCTGAATTTTGATCACGTGACCATGGGGATGCTGCAGTGGTTGTAAGGGTGAAAAATGGTCCTAACGTTTTTCAGTGCCGTCGTAACTTCAAACAGTCACAAAATGAATGGCTATATGTCAAGATCTACCTGCATACCAGAACTCCAGAAGCTGAACTCTCTCTTACTACAGTATCTTGCTATATACTTCAGTAGAAATATACAGGTAGTTCTTGACTTAACAATCACCCATTTAGTGACAGTTCAAAGTTACAATGGCGCTGGGGAAAAGTGACTTATGACCAGTTCTCGCACTTGTGACTGTTGCAGCATCTCCACAGTCACGGGATCAAAATCCAGGTGCTTGACATCTGGCATGACATTAGGATCACTAGGGAAGCCAGGATCACTGAACAAATCCAGTGATTTGTTAAACAATTGTGGCCAAAAAAGGGCCATACAATCGAGCTTGCCTCACTTAACAACCACCTGGATTCAGAACAGAACAGAGTTGTGGTCATAAATTGAGGACTACCTGTAACTTGTTCTCCAAAAAGGAAATAGATTAGTCTCTCAACATCCAGAACCAAATCCTTAAAACTGGGTTAAATATATAAATAATTGATAGAACCCCTGCATGTGGCAACAGATAATAAAACAGCTTTCTAAATCTCATCATATCTGGACTGGAGCAAATAAATCTTTTAAGTCTTCAACAACAAAAAATCCAGCAAAGAATAATCCTGGAATATTTTCTGAAAGGGTTGTCAACAGTACATTTATTTAAGGTTCAAGGATTCATTAAATGGTATATGTTGTATACCTTTCGCTGCCTTGTTTATACCTTTCATTCTTGACTGTTTCTTCTTTCATTATATGAAAGGTTTTTAAAAACCTTTGACAAATGTTTGCTGCCACACCCATGCATTTTTTTTGCTTATTTTTTTCTGTTCATTTCTTGTAGAAGATTAACAGAATAACAGAGTTGGAAGAGACCTTGGAGGTCTTCTAGTCCAACCTTTCAGGTAAATGCCTGTCCAATCATATCTCGTATCTCAAAATTTTGCCTTTGTCCCGTCGTTTTGGCACATTACTTCAACCTATTTGGTGTATGTGCTGAGTGCACGTGGACAACGTGCTGTAAGGGGATAAAAACAGCTACATTTAAGACATGTACGGGAAGTTATAATTAGATATTCAGAGAAATGATAGCCTTTATAAGTGAATGAGGAAAAATGTATTTGTATTAGCAGAGGGGTAGAATAAAAAACATGTGAAGTCTTCATGCCATTTTATAACACCTTGGTAAGGCCACACTTGGAATTTTGCATCCAATTTTGGTCACCACAATATAAAAAAAAGATGTTGAGACTCTAGAAAGTGTGCAGAGAAGAACAAAGATGATTAGGCTACTGGAGGCTAAAATTCATGAAGAACAGTTGCTGGAATTGGGTATCTCTAGTTCGATGAAAATAAGGATTAGGGGTGATAGAAATAGCAGAGTTCCCATATCTAAGAGGTTGCCACAAAGAAGAGGGGGTCCATTTATTCTCCAAAGCCCCTGAAGGCAGGACAAGAAGCAACAGATGGAAACAAATAAAGGAAAGATCCAACCTGGCAACTTAGGAGAAATTTCCTGACAGCAAGAACAATTAAATCAGTGGAACAGCTTCTCTCCAGAAATTGTGGATGCTCCAACACTGGAGGTTTTTAAGAAGAGACTGAACAACCATCTGTCTAAAATGGAATATGGTCTCCTGCTTGGCCGGGGGTTGGACTAGAAGACCTCCAAGGTCCCTTCCAAACTGTTAAACTTGCCCAGCAAAAAAAAAGCTTTAAAGAGGTTTCTCTCCAATAACCATTTTGCTGTTCACCCTCCTTCAGCTAAATCAGCCAGGGTTTGAAGACTTCCAAGGCCGCTTCCAACTCTGTTCCTCTGTTTGTAACTTGCAGTGCTTACTCACCCTGTGTACGTACCAGTGATTAGCAAGATCACAGTGAAGTTTTCACAAACTGTTGGCATCACGCAATAGTCCATGGAATAATGAAGTAGCTAACCCTTAGCCAGCTCCTGCCAAAGCAGGAGGCTCAAATGTGATTGGCTGATTTGTGGTTGCATGTGTGATGTAAATGCAGCCTGTGTATGATATGCCACAATTCATTGTGGAAAGGATGTAAACAAATGAAACAGCAACTGGTTGCGGTTGGGGAATAATTTTTTTTGGTGCCGCACTCCTAGGCAAGAAAGCAGAAATGGATAAGAGACTCGGTGTTACGACAGAAAACTGTAAGCTTTGAGGGTTTGTGGATTTATATTTTGGAATGTAATAAAGTGGCTTTTTGTGCATTTCCTTATTTCCCACGTTTACATCTGATAGGTCTGGCTTCAAAAGATTTCCGTTATAAATAAAGCTTTCTCTAACACCATCTAATTTAACTGTGGCATGTGACAAGCATGTTGTCCCATTGGGCTGATGGAAATAGGAAAATATGAAAAAGTCAACATGATTTTTGGTTCTACTGTACTTCAGCATCTCCTCTGTTACTAAATTTGAGACTAGGCATATGCCAAGATGTGATGAGTTCCAGTCTTACTTTAAGAGACAGTAATAGATTTGAATTGAGGACGTGGTGGCTCAGTGGCTAAGACGCTGAGCTTGTCAATCAGAAAGGTCGGTGGTTCGAATCCCTAGCGCAGCATAACGGAGTGAGCTCCCGTTACTTGTCCCAGCTTCTGCCAACTTAGCAGTTCGAAAGCACGTAAAAAATGCAAGCAGGAAAATAGGGACCACTTTGGTGGGAAAGTAACACCGTTCCGTGCGCCTTCGACGTTTAGTCATGGCGGCCACATGACCACGGAGACGTCTTCAGACAGCGCTGGCTCTTCGGCTTTGTAACAGAGATGAGCATCGCCCCCTAGAGCTGGAAACGACTAGCACGTAGGTGCGAGGGGAACCTTTTTACCTTTACCTAATAGATTTGGACGTCCCAAAAGTATTTTTTGCAAAAGGCAACTGGACTTTCTTGGGTCTCCCCCCCCCCCCTGCTTTGAAATCGTTTCCTGTCCCCCCAAGTTAGAACTGAAGAAATTCCTTGAATGAGAAGGGAAACGTTATCAAAAGGAAAAAAAAAAAAAGCAAGAGAGATCAGTTTCCTTTTGGAAAAGCTACTTTTGGGGACAAGCATGACCTGGATAATCGGGAATCTCCATAGGCATAATGGATTTGGAATTCTGTGGAAGGTGTGGGAGCAAGAATAAAGCCCCAGTTCCTTTCTACCGTAGCACTGATGATGTTACCTAGTTGGGTCATGAAACGTCTGTAAGAAAACAGCCAAGCTCAGAGAGCACCCAGGAGTCCATAGTTCAGCCCTGAGCTACAAATACAGGTAGTCCTTGATTTACAACAGTTCATTTAGTACTGTTCATAGTTACAACGGCAGTGAAAAAAGTGACTTAGGACCATTTTTCAGAGTTACAACCAAGGTCACATGATCAAAATTCAGATGCTTGGCAACTGACTCATATTTATGATGGCTGCAGTGTCCCGGGGTCATGGGATCACCTTTTGAGACCTTCCGACAAGCAAAGTCAATGGGGAAGCCAGATTCACTTAAGGACCAGGTTCCTAACTTATCAACTGCAATGATTCACTTAACAACTGTGGCAAAAACGGTTGTAAAATGGGGCAAAACTCACTTAACAAATGTCTCACGTAACAACGGAAATTTTGGGCTCAATTGTTGTAAGTTGAGTGCTACCTGTATTCTCTTCTACTGGCAGTCCGGTAATAATTTTGTAACCTGTTTATTTAATTACACATTGCTTCCCTCGGTTAACTACAGGTATGAAATGGTTAAACTTGGACGTTTGTTGTCATTTATAATTTTATTTCATCTGTTAAAGAGAGATATTTCATCAGTTAAAGAGAAAAATACTGTTTGAGATGGTTTACAGTACAGATAGTCCTCAACTTATGACCAAAATTGAGCCCAAAATTTTCATGGCTACTAAGCAAAACTATTTTTTGTTTTGGGCACTTGCCAGCCAGCTCATATCTACGGCCATTTGCAATATCCCGTTATCACATGATCACCATTTACAATCTTTTTTTTTTTTGCCAGAAATTGTCATTTATGTCCAATTTTTCTGGCAAAGAAACGCCCATTGCAAGCAATATGTTCACTTAACAATCTCAGATTTGCTTAACAATCTCTGCAAAAAATGTCATAAAATTTGATCATTCGTATGATGACCCACTTAACGATGAGCAAAACTTATGACCCTAATTCTGGGCTCATTTGTGGGTTAGAAGTTGAGGACTACCTGTTACTAAGAAAAGGAAAGGTTCTTTGCTCTTTTAATGAGTACCGTCAACATGGAGTCTGTTTTAAGTGTGAAAGTACAATATGGGTTACATTTTCTGAATCGAGGGATGGTCTTAAAGGAAGCAACCCACGACGTGTAGCTGGTGGCTTGGAAAATTTGTGTAGATTAGTAAAAAAAAATTATCTGTATTCCTTCGGAAACAAACTGAGTTCCTTCGAAACAGTTCCTGGATTTGTCTTCATAACAGTTTTCTAGAGAGGGAAGAATTCTGTTTAGTGAGGAAATACTTTATTGATTTGCCTATTTTATTCTACAGACTACCAAGTCTTTAAACTCAAGCTTTGGGGCCTTCTGTTTTGTCATGCAAGTCAGCTTTTTTTTAAAAAAATTTTTTTTAAAGAACTCTGCAATGCTCCCTGCCCACTTCCACATGGCTGGCTGGGGAATTTGGGGGCATTTTGAAGTTCACAAGTCTTAAGATTGCCAATCTTGGATGTTCTGTTCTCTGCAGAGATTCATGCCTGATTTGCAATGCAAATGATCGTTCTTAGAGGAAGAAGGATCTGTTGCATTAGGCAACCACTCTCCTTTGCATATATTAGATTATGCTGTTCTTGGTTCTGTGTTTCCATTATGGAATTGTCAGTATCAGCCCTTGTCTTAATGGCCACCCACATTGTCTTGGTAAATAGGTTTGCAAATTAGGATTAGCAGGAAACTTAATAATAATACTTAGTGGGGTATTATTGTGTAGCGGTATAAATTGAAAAGCCAAAAAAATGATTCAGACCATGTTTAACAAACAACATCTTTCTTTCTTTCTTTCTTTCTTTCTTTCTTTCTTTCTTTCTTTCTTTCTTTCTTTCTTTCTTTCTTTCTTTCTTTCCTTCCTTCCTTCCTTCCTTCCTTCCTTCCTTCCTTCTTTCCTTCCTTCCTTCCTTCCTTCCTTCCTTGCAATTTTTTTATTTTATTTTATACGAACAATCCATCTTCCGTTTCAACGGTGTGATGTCTGGGTACAAATATCTTGTGCAATAACAATTACAATTAATACATACTCATTACTATAATATAAGTACTTTATACTTATTTTATACTACTTTATACTTATAGTACTTTATACTTTATACTACTATGCATAATATATAATTATTATAACAATCCCCTCTTAATGTATTTAATTCTTGTTCACATGTTTACTATTTTTCGCTAGTCTTCTTTAATTTCTAATTTCCATTTCTATTCTCCAGCCATTGATAAAATAGTTCCCATATCAGATAGTATTCGGTCTGTTCCTTTTCTTTAATTGCAAGTGTTAGTCTATTCATTTCCGCACATTCTAATATTTTCCTGATCACATTCTCATCTGTCGTAATCTTCTCACTTTTCCAATTTTGTGCAAATACAATTCTAGCTGCGGTTAATACATGCATGATTAAGTATGCCTTTTCTTTACTATAAATTTCAGGTATAATCCCCAACAGAAATATTTCAGGTTTTAAATCTATATGTTGCTATATCATCTTTTCCAACCACATGTGTATTTTTGTCCAATATCTTTTGGCTTCTATGCATGACCACCACATATGATAATATGATCCAGGTGTCTGGTGACATTTCCAGCATTTAGCTGATTTATCTTTAAACGTCCTTGCCAGTCTTGCCGATGCAAAGTGCCATCTAGAAAACATCTTACACAGATTTTCTTTGTATGCAGTTGACATCGTTAATTTATAGTTTCTGTCCCACAATTTCTGCCATGTATCTAATTCTACGGTGTAAGCAAAGTTTTACAAACAACATGTTTCTTATTGGAGTGTTTCTCAAACTTGTTATTTTTAAGATGTGTGGATTTCTACTGCCAGAATTAAGATATGTGGACTTCAACTCCCAGAATTCTGTAGCCAGCAGGCATTGTATCAGTGGTGGGATTCAATTTTTTTTTACTACCGGTTCTGTGGGCGTGGCTTGGTGGGCATGGCAGGGGAAGGATCCTGTAAAATCCCCATTCCCTCCCCACTCCTGGGGGAAGGTTACTGCAAAATCCCCATTCCCTCCCCACCCACTAACCTGCTTTCCAGCTCCGTTCTCCTGTGCAGGGCAACCAAAGAAGACCCAGCCAATCAGCTGGGACTCGGGAGGCAGAGAATAGAGGGGGGCGGGGCCAGTCAGAGGTGGTATTGGACGGTTCTCTGAACCACTCAAAATTTCCACTACCGGTTCTCCAGAACTGGTCAGAACCTGCTGAATACCACCTCTGCATTGTATTTACAGTGGTTGTAGGGTCCTGCCTGGGATTGTCATTCACAACTTTCCTAGGTAATTTCTGATAAGCAAAGCCAATGGGACAATCCAGATTTGCTTAATGACCATGTGTTTCCCTTAAGAACTGCAGCGATTCACTTAACCACCATGACAAAATGGTCGTAAAACGGGATGTGTGACTCACTTAACACCTGCCTAGCTTAGCAATGGAAAGTTTGGGCTCCATTGTGGTCGTAAGTTGAGGACTACCTCTATATATAATTGTCTTCTACCACCTGGGTGGAAATTTGGGGGACTTGGTCCACTTCAATCTTTTGGGAAGTCTACCTTAAAAATATTGCCTGTTTTCTACAAGGATTATTTTTTAACTTTCACCATTCTTGAACTATTTTTTGGAAGATATGACAGTTGTCATTCTTAATGATACAATACAATAAATTATACAATATTCTTTATATTGAGGTTCCACCATGTCAGTCTCAATGCTTAGCAATCACACTAGAAGATAGACTTTTCCCACCATGATCTGGCCTCGCCTGCTCCTTTAGGTCTGCCAGCTGTTATCTCTGTCTTTTTTTAGTTTTTTTTTTCCAGTCAACTGAAATTACAATCCTGTTTCTCATTAAACTGTGTCTATATGTTCTCTTGTAGATCCCAACTATGTCATGGCCAATGAACGCATGAATCTGATGAATATGGCGAAGCTAAGCATAAAGGGCTTAATAGAATCTGCTCTAAATCTTGGGAGAACCTTGGACTCCGACTATGCACCTCTTCAGCAGTTTTTTGTAGTCATGGAGCACTGCCTTAAACATGGCTTAAAAGGTGGGTATAGATTGACAGAAGATCTCCTCTAGGGATTATATCCAGATTCTTAAACTGGAATAAACTAGAGCAGTTGTCAGGATTCCGGCAGTTACTCCAATTAAATCATGAGCCTCGAGCCACACTCCCAAAACTAAAAAAGATTTATTTGAAGGTAACATTCTACGTCCAGCATTTACCTGGGCGTAGCCAACTCTGAGATACGTAATTCACTGCCACCCTTGATCCTGCTTTCCCTCCCACCCCTCTGGGTGGATCATCCAACGAAAAACATCAATAGCCAAGAGTCATCAATCATGCTCTCCAATTAGATTTTTTCGTGGCAGAAGCTTCAGTCATTTAATCAGTCTCTGAAGAAAATATGAATGGAATATACTTTCGATTCCACACTGCCGACTGCTCTTTGAAACTCCCCCCACCCTTCTTTCTGTTGTCAACTATAAAACGTGTATACAAAATGTTTTATGAGTTGACAGCAGTATGTTTTGTTTTCTAAGACATTTTTTTAGATAAACAGCTTCTATCCGAGGGCAGCTATATTGAATTCTACTGTATAGTGCAATATTAATGCAATATCAGGGATTTTCAATTCAATGTATAGAATGTGTTTGTGTTTATTTTCATACTGAAGATGGTATTTAATTTCGTTGTACGAGGTGCTATGACAATAAAGTAAACTAAACTAATAAAGTGTTGGTTAAAGCAGTGAGTCTCCAAACTTGGCAACTTTCAGACTTGTGGACTTCAACTCCCAGAATTCTTCAGCCAGCTTTGCAAGAATTCTGGGAGTTGAAGTCCACAAGTCTTAATGTTGCCAAGTTTGGAGACTCCTGGTTTAAAGGGATAGTCCATTTTCATCAGTAAAGTCCATAAGTCTATATTTTTTTTTATTTCTTGGTAGTGGGCAAATATAGTAGACCTTATTTCCAGGTTTTCCCTCAATACATCTTCATATCCAAACATCCAGGACCTAATTTGATGGTCTACCCCAGTAGGATAAGAATCATAAGCCTTTAAAAATCAATTTATTGATTTATGGAATCAACTAAAACATTTAATGTACACTTTCAAACAGAACGAAGTGGGAACATGATTAAATGAATGGGGAAGAACCAATATTTTAAATCAATTTTAGTGTTAATGTGTATTGTTTTTATGTTTCATCTTGTGGTTTTTATGATTGTAAACTGCCTAGAGATGGCTGGCATACAAGTTTAATTAATAAATAAATAAAGCTAGTCCAACCCCCTGCTCAACCAGGTGGCTCTATGCCCGTGATGGTGAACCTATGGCACAGGTGGCACGCAGAGCCGTTTGTGCAGGCACGCGAGCCCCAGCCAAACTTACCTGCACTGTGCATGTGTGTGCCTCCCAGATGATTTTCGGCCTGTTTGAAGCCGTTTTCGGCCTCCCAGAGGCTTGAGAAAAGCCTCTGCAGCCTTTGGAGGCTGAAAAATGGTCCTGGAAAAACTGAAAGTGCCAAAACGGGCCCGTTTTCAGCCTCACGAGACTCCAGTTGCTTTCTTCGAGTTCCCGGGAGGGAGAAAACGGCCTCCTCCGGGCTCCAGAGGCCCTCTGGAGGTTGAAAACGGGCACTTCCAGTATTTTGTAGAAGGCCTGTTTTTCAGCCTCCCGAGGCCGCAGAGGCTTCCCTCAAGCCTCCGGGAGGGTGAAAATAGCCTCAAATGGGCCAAAAATCAACTGAGAGGCACACGCATGCGCAGTGCAGATAAGGGGCGTGGCGGGGGTGTTGCGTGTGCATGCGCGGGGGGGCGGGGCGCATTGCATTGTGGGTGCTGGCGCGCACACTTTCGGTACACCACAACAAAAATATTCGCCATCACTGCTCTATGCCATTTCAGACAAATGGTTGTCTAGTCTCTTCTTAAAAATCTCCAGTGAGGGAGCGCCCACAGTTTCTGAAGGCAAGCTGTTCCACCGGAATTAAAGCCATGACCGGAATTAATCAGAGTTTTGTTGCACAAATACCTGGGAGATATGATTGGGGAAATCTGGATTAAGATAACAGTATTGAGATATGTTGAAAGTGTTTGCAATGCCACTCTTCCAAATGACTTAAAATGGCGATTCAGATATTATAAACAAACAAACAAATGTTTTTTGTTTAGCCAAGAAGACTTTTCTGGGCCAAAATAAGTCATTTTGGGGACCTCTGGAACTGGTAGAGAAATTTGTTCCGGAAGCTGGAGAAATCACAGCAAGCGTTAAAGATTTGCCAGGGCTAAAGTAAGTGTTGTCTTTCTCTGTTCTTTCCACAAGAAGATGCCTATCAGGTTTTTTTTCCAGAAATTCTGTAAAGCAGTAACTCTATTCACTAAGGACTTGTTCAGGAGTCTATAACAGCTCAATTTTTGAAGTAGAAGGTCATGCTGGATCTGCTCTGCTCTTTATGCAAGATATCAGTCATAGACAGAGGGACTACCTGTATTTAAGCTTTAAAAAAAAAAGATAAAAGATTTTGTCTGTCAGTCATATCTGACTCTAGAGAGCGGTGCTCATCTCCCATTTCTAAGCGAAAGGAATCAGTGTTGTCCAAATATGCTTTTGGTGGTTATGTGGCCAGCATGACTATACATCGAGGCACAAGGAACGCTGTTACTTTCCCACCAAAGTGGTACCTATTGATCTACTTGCATTTGCATGCTTTCCGAACTAAATTGGCAGGAGCTGGGGCAAGTAATGGGAACTCAATCCATCATGCAGTACTTAGGTCTCAAACTGCCAGCCTTCCAATCGACAAGCCTAGTATCTTAACCACTTAACCTGTGTGGTTAAGTGATTCTTAATCTATGTATATAAAAGTGAAATAACCAGTCACGCATCATGACAAAATCTCCAGAACCGTAAAGCCTACAAACTTGAAATTTGGCACGTATGTTTCTCTTGGCTTCTAGGTGCTCACTAAGAAAGGATTTTTCAAAATGACCATCAGAGCATTAGTATTTTGTATATTATTATTAACACGCTCTGATGCTAAGGAGTTCTTCTCCCCCTCCCCACCTGAAAAGAAATCTGTTCCAAATGCAAAACACAAGCAGAGGAGAGGAGTTTCAGTTTCAGTTTCACAGCAGCAAGCAGCTGTAGTACAGAACAGTTGAGCTAAGCCACACCCGGGCTCCTTGCTGTCTCCTTGCTCACACAGCAAATACTGTTTCAATTTCCAAACAGCCCTCAACTCTCTCACACACTGACAAGACACTAGCTAGATGAACACCGATGGATGCTGGTAGGCAGAGGCAGAATTTCCCCCCTTATTTTCCTCCCCCAAAACTAAGCCCAACCACATCGTTTCATAGCAAAGCATGGGTATCGAGCTAGTCAAGTTACAGTATAATACTTCTAAAGAGTATGATTGGAAAAACGCTTCAAATAAAATTCGGTCGAGTACGTTTTTCACCCTGTGCATTAGGACACCGCTCCTCTTCTCAGCCATTGGACCCCTTCTTGTATTTACTTTTGTCTATTTGGAGGGAAGGGGAAAATTAGTCGTCCACTTTTATTGTTTTATTTTGTGCGCAGAATTTTGGCACCTAGGAGACCTGCCACCTTATGTGTAACAACAGTTTTCCTTTGTCTTTGGGACTTGGCAGGACTCCCGTGGGAAGGGGTAGAGCCTGGCTGCGCCTGGCATTGATGCAGAAGAAACTTTCAGAGTACATGAAAGCTTTGATAAACAGAAGGGAAATTCTCAGGTGAGAACTCGGTTCATTCTTGAATGGAAATCCTCATGTGGTGTTACATCAATCAGATGCTGTCTTTAAGAAGTCTTTTTATATCCCAATATTGTTACTTTCACTGGTCTAAAATTTTTAAGAGGAGGAAATTTAAACATTTCCCTTTTGGGGACTTGTTAGAATATGTCATGTCTGGAGCAAGCAACCATAGCCTCTCATAAATAGCCAAAGTCAGTAACTTTATTGTTTGCACACCTATATTACAAGAATCTTCTTCCTAGACTGCTTGCCTTCCCATGGGAATATTCAGATAAGGCTTCATGGATGAGGGAATGAAGTTTACATCATTTGCAACCATGCAATGATTCCAAACTTGGCCCCCACTTGACTCCTCCTTCCACCCGGAACAAGGCACAAAGGTCACACAGCCAGCGGAGAGTTCAAAGTCCCTTTTAATGCTCCAAATTTCCCCAAACGCTCCCACGTTCTTGGCAAGTCCCAGAGCAAAGCATACACACACACCTCTGGCTGTGTGTAGTCCAGCAAAAGAAAGAAACAGGTAAATGAAACCCCCATAGAAATTTTACTTCTAATTACATAGACTGAATATGCTAAATAATAATAATACTTTTTATTATTATCATCACTATCATATGTGACCTTAACAGCTGTTAGGTCCTTGGTTAGGACTTGAACTGTTAAGTGTTTACAGTTCCAGACTGTGAAACGAATTGAAGATTAAATCTTAAATAATACATTTTAAACATCTCTTAGGTCCTAGGTCTGGACTTGAACTGTTTTACCAATCCCAGATTGTGAAATTGATTAAAGATTAAATCTTAAATAATACATTTTGAACTATTAGACCTGAATATTCTGACTTTTTTTTTAAAAAAAAAAAACCACCTTACTTGAAACTGCCTATATACTCAGATATGACATTAACATCTCTTAGGTCCTGGGTCTGGACTTGAACTGTTCAGTTTTTTTTTCCAGTCCCAGGCTGTCAATCGAATTGAAGATTAAACCTTAAATAATCATAATAATAATAACAATATTGTAACCATTTATATTTCAATATGTTTTGCAGTGAATTTTACGAAGCGAACGCTCTCATGATGGAGGAAGAGGGGGCTATAATCGCTGGACTTTTAGTGGGCCTCAATGTCATTGATGCTAATTTTTGCATGAAGGGAGAAGACTTGGATTCTCAGGTGCCAGATCTTATGTTTACACATAAATGGGGAGTTACTTAGCGTGTAGATAACAATTAGCCTTCTTGCAGTTGGCTATATTGAAGGTTGAGTGTGTGTCAGGGAATTGCACAGCAGCTGTCCAGATAAAGTCGGAGACAATAACACAAATTGTAGTCTTCATCATCCTACAGAAAGAGAAAACGCAAGATAGTCAGGAACATCATGAGGTAAATTAAACAGTACAGGCAGTCCTCGACTTACGACTGTAATTGAGCCCAAAATTTCTGTTGTCGAGGGAAACATTTCTCAAGTGGCCCCATTTTTACAGTCTTTCTTGCCACCGTTGTTACGGTAAATAAATCACTGCAGTTGATAAGTTAGTAACCTGGTTGTTAAGCAAATACGGCTTCCCCCATTGACTTTGCTTGTCACACAATGTGATCATATGACCTTGGGACACAGCGACGGTCATAAGTACGAACCAGCTGCCTAGCATCTGAATTTTGATCATGCGATCATAGGGATGCTGCAAAAGTCGAAGTGTGAAAAATGGTCGCAAGTCACAATTTTTCAGTGCCGTTGTAACTTTTAACGGTCACTAAGCGAACTGTTGTAAGTCGAGGATTACCTGTATGTAGAACACACTGAAGAGAAAAAGACAGGGGGAAAGGGAAACGCCCCCTTTACGCTTATGGCAACCAATCATGGCATAGATTACCTCATGCATGAGTCAGAACTCTGACCAGGAGTGGGATTCAATTTTTTTTTACTACTGATTCTGTGGGCGTGGCTTGGCGGGCGTGGCAGGGGAAGGATACTGTAAACATTTCCTCCCCACTCCTGGGGGAAGGTTACTGCAAAATCTCCCTCCCTCCCTCCCAACCCCACTAGCCTGCTTTCCAGCTCCGTTCTCCTGTGCAGGGCAACCAAAGAAGACCCAGCCAATCAGCTGGGATGTAGGAGGCGGAGACTATATGAGGGCGGGGCCACCCAGATGTGGGATTTGCTGGTTCCCTGAACTACTCAACATTTCCACTACCGGTTCTCTGACTCTGACCAATCAACGACAACTGTGTGTTCTGGCCTATTGTAAATTTACTGGTCCACATTTAGTATCCTAACAGCATGTCAAGTCAAATGTGACTTTACTAAGTGGGCAGGGAATTCTGGGGAATGAAGTCCAAGATGTTAAGGTTGAGAAATATTACAAGGAAGAAAACCTTGGCAAGAGTGACTGAGGAGAAACTTAAATTTTAAGTCCAGAACAGGAAGCAAAAGAGGCAGACACCTCCCTATCTCACTGAACTGCAGCTAGTCCTAGACTTGCAGCATTTAACATTTAGTGACTGTTTAAAGTTACAACAACACTGAAAAAAGTGACTGGCGGCCATTTTTCACATTTACGACTGTGGTCACGTGATCGAAATTCAGACGTTTGGCAACCGACTCATATTTATGATGGTTGCAGCATCCTTGGGGGTCATGTGATTCCCCTTTTTTGTGACCTTCTCACGAGCAAAGTCAATGGGGAAGCCAGATTCACTTAACAACTATGTTTAAAAAGCGAAGTGATTCGCTTAACAACAAAACGAGGTGAAATTAATTTAACAGCTGTCTCACTTAGCAACAGAAATGTTGTGCTCTGTGATGATCCGGGGCATGGCACAAAGGTAACACAGTCACATAAGTAAGAAGAGTCCCTTTAGTACCTCCAACTTTGCCCCCAAAGTCTAGGTTACCTTTGGCTGGAGAAAAAACTCTCTGAAGAACAGTCTTTAAGTGGAGGAAATTCAGTCCAAAAACAAAGTACATACAAACTGTAGCTAAAAATCCAAACAAACCACGCTGCAGTAATTAACTTGACAGGGCAGGAGAAGGAATTGCAGACTTGAAAGCACAGCCAAAACACACACAGTTGGGAAGACGCCAGGAACACAGATAAACCACGACGATACAAGATAAATTCATGTTTGCTCTCAACAACTTGCTGTGCGCAGCTTCCTCTTTTATACACTGTGTTCCGAGCTGCAGCTAATTAAGGGAATCAGGGCCCTTTCCTCCCCCATAAGCCATGCAACTCACGTTGCTCCCTTCTCTGTTCCTCCCTGCGTGCCCTAGGATGAAGAGGGGGTGACCCTGGGTCTTCCTCTGAATTCCCTCTCCCTTGTTCTACCTCTCCTCTGCTTTGCCCAGCCGGACTTTGCCCTTCCTCAGTTTCTTCCACAGCCCACGGAGCCATACTCCCACTCCCTGTCAGCTGTTCGGCCTCCCCCTCCGAATCAGATTCCGACAGGGGCATGACATGCTCCATAAGGACTACCTCTATAACGGAAGAGGACTTGGACAGTTTTGTGATTATAGGCCCGTGATGGCGAAAGTATGGCATGCATGCCGGAAGTGACATGCAGAGCCATCTCTTTCAGCATGCAAGCCGTCATCCTGGATCAAGTCCAGAGGCGCGCAATGCACGCGGGGGATGGTGGTATACTTTCGGCACACGATGACAAAAAGGTTAGCCATCACTGTTATAGGCCATCTCAATAAAAATAAATTCAGCCTTTCTGTGGAATTGATTTCTTGGCCTGGCCTGCTTATAATGGAGCCGACATCAATCTTGCAAGTCTGTTCGTGCCGTGTTCCCAATTACTAAACATGCCTTGGATGAATCACACAGTTAATAAGTTAGAGTATAAGACGAATAAAATGAAAAAAAAAAAAGTTGCAAGTGTCGGACGTGAAGTATTGCTGTCTTCTCTCGTAGGTTGGCGTTATTGATTTTTCAATGTATTTGAAGGATGGCAGCAGCAGTAAAGGCAGTGAAGGGTAAGTCCTTTGGTTCCTATCCAGAATCTGTATTTTTAGATGCTTCTCTGAAGCTCTGTTATAAGAGAACTTTGTCAATTTTACACCTTGGTGTTTTTTTTCCCAGTCGCTCATTTTTCTAGATTCACTTTTATCTCTGCGAAACAGCAGAGGAGCCAAGGGTGTCTAAGTGTGTGTAAGTGTGAGTTTGTCAAAAAGTCAGGATGGCAACTAGGAAAATTAATCATCACATATAAAAGTGTGGGATGTCTTCTCATAATCACCTTCTTGACTTTTTTTGACCTTTCCTGCAGATAGCATAGCTCTGGAGGCTGGATGTTGACTTGTCCAAACATTATACAAATATATAATTATGACACTTTTTTTTTTCATGTTACGGTTTCTAATTCTTTTCAGACAATCATCTATTTATTATTTAATTCTATGTTTTTAGCGCATGCCAATTCAGGCAGGGGTGGGCTTCAAAAATGTTCGCAACGGGTTCTTGGCCTGGTTGCTGGGTGGCCGTAGCCATGGTGGGCGTGGCCTAATCGGCCTCCTGCACCACGGCGGGGGGGAGGGATGTTTTTGCCCTCCCCAGGCTCCGGAGGCTTTCCTCGAGCCTCCGGGAGGGCAAAAACAGCCTCCCTGGGCTGCAGAGACCCTCTGGAAGCTGGAAACGGACTCATTTCTGGCCTTCTGAACTTCCGGGAGCCCCGTTTTTTTGCCCTTCCTGAGTCTCTCTGCATGCACTTACCTGTATCCAAAACAGGCCGTGGGGGAACTCCTGGGGGGGGGGGGGGCAGAGTAGGCGGGGATTTGGGGGTCCTCCGAATGGACAGAATCTTAGCTAGGGGCTCTCCCGAATCCCTGCGAACCCCCAGCAGCCCATCCCTGAATTCAGACTATAGTAGGCCTTAAAAATCTTAATTGTTGCTAAACGTCGTATTAATTTTCAAACAACTGTTCTCTGGATTGATGAGCATTATTTTGTTATCATGTTAGGAAAAAAATTGATGTCTGCTTTTCTATGGGCCAACGAATGAATTTGTATATGACTTTTTCATCAACGCAATCAACAAATTCTTCTTCCTAAACGTATTGCTTTGCTCTGCCGTACTGCTTAATATTTCTCTCTGTGCACGGTGAATAATATTCATTGTGTTCCATTTTCAGTGATGGACAAATTACTGCAATTCTGGATCAGAAAAATTACGTAGAAGAGCTCAATAGACATTTAAGGTAAAGAGGTAAATCTTCTGTGGAAAATTTGGTCAGTGTGTGTTGAGTTCTTAAGTTCCATACGGTTACACCATGTCTTTTTTTTTTTTTTTTATTGGACAGTGCTACAGTCAACAACTTGCAGGCAAAGGTTGATGCTTTGGAAAAATCCAACACTAAACTTACTGAGGAGGTAGGTAGGAATGAAAGAAATGTGAAGGTCCCCCCCTCCCCCCGTGTTGGATAAAATTAAAAGAAACAACATTCTGGCTTTAGGGACATTCAAATACATTCATAAATTAGATCACCTCTAATTAAGTAATATCCCAGCCTGGTCCCAAAATAGATTCCAAATGCAAGAGATGCCAGATGAATTAATATTATGGAATGGAAATTTATCTGGCCCAGAGCACAGGTGTCTAACAGAGAGCTACTCTATTGTGGAATTCTGCAAAGATTATTCTTTATTGGACACGTGTAATTGGACACACAAGGAATTTGTCTCCGGTGTGTAAGATCTCAGTGTACGGCTAAATGTCTATGGAGATTCTCAGTCACCCAGGTCATGGTTGTCACAAAGGTGCTTTTCTTTTTTTTCTTTTTTTGTAAGTTTTATTGGTTTTTAAAGACAAACAAAAACAAACAAAACATAAAAACATCCAACTTTCTTCCATAAGTGTACAAGCAGTGTGTCGGCAAAGGTGCTTTTCTAAAGGGCAACTGGACTTTCTGGTTTTTCTTTGAAGACGTTTCACTTCTCATCCAAGAAGCTTCTTCATCTCTTCAGATGAGAAGCGATATATTTTCAAAGAAAAACCAGAAAGACCAGTTGCCCTTTAAAAAAAGCACCTTTGGGATCTCAGTGTATATACAAACAATGTGATAAATCATAAGATACCAATATGAGTAGATCAGTGGTGGTATTCTACCAGTTCATCCCAATTCGGGCGAACCGGTAGTAAAAAAACGTTACCGTTCGGCCGAACCAGTAGTAAAAAAAACAGCTACTGGTTGAACCAATATTTCAGCTGAACCAATATTTCTTTTCTTCCTTTTTTTCCTCCCGACGATCAGCTGTTCCAACGATCAGCTGTGCCAGGATCCCCCTCGCTATCTTATTGCTTTGCCCAGGAGGCTTCCCTGAGGCCCAGGAGGCAAAAAAACGGAGCACGAAGGGGCCGTGCAGCCCCCCCCCCCCCCCGCACCTCCCCCAACGCTCCATTTTTTTGCCGGCTGGGCCTCAGGGAAGCCTCCTGAGAGCAAAAACGGCCTAGACTAAGACCCAGGAGGCAAAAAATAAAAATAAAAATGGAGCGCAGGGAGGTGTGCTGCAAAAAAAAAAAAAAGCCACGCCCACCCAATCACATGGCCATGCCCACCTAGCCACGCCCATCTAGCCATGCGCACAGATCCGGTAGTAAAAATATTTGCATCCCACCTCTGGAGTAGATAATAGGAAAGATGAAAAGGATAATAGTAATACAACCCTACTACATTGTTAGATATCCTTAGGCATAAGACTTAAGAATTAAGAATTAAATGTTCAGCAGAGTAATGACACAAGGGGAAAAAAACTTGTCTAATTGTTTTGACATGCAGTGCCCTATAGTAGCATCTTAAGGGGAGGAGTTGAAGCAGTTTGTGTCCAGGATGTGAGGGGTCTGTAGCCCACCTTCTGGTTCTTGCCTGTATACAGGTCCTCAATGGAAGGCAGGCTGGTTGCCATTTTTTTTCCCTGCAGTCCCCAACTATCCATTAGTGCAGGGCGCTAACAAGTGCTGATGGAGCTGGATTACAAATTGGGAAGTTTTTTTATTATCTTACAAGAAAACAAATTACTCTTGCACATCCTTTTTCTGAGGGCATGTGCCCTTTATGTGTGCATTTCATAGAGAAGGGATTAGAAGAGGCGAAGAAAATATATACCCATACGGAGTTGCAGGGCCAACTCCAAATTATTTTGAGAGTGACAACCATTGTAAGTTTTGTCTTTTCATTGCTGTCCTTGGGATTAACGCAGCTTGCCGTCGCAAACAACAGAATTATAACACTGCAAGAAGAAATGGAGCGGGTCAAAGAGGAGAGTTCGTACATTTTGGAATCCAACCGAAAGGTCAGTACTTATGTGCACGGAACATGCAGCAATTGGGGACTGTTTTCACATTCACTTATGCTTCTGTAACATGGTTCATTTGATAAGACCCCTTTATTTGCAGTGGTGGCAAATATCTGTAGCTTGGGTGTAGGATGAGGGTGAAGGTTGGTTCTCCAAGCTTGTGGGTTGGTTTCTGAAAGTTTCATTACCAGCCTAGGTAACATCCTCAGAGGAGTTTAAGGGATGTCAATGTTGATGTTCTTCTGTTTATAAGAGCTTCAGGTATCTGTGTGTCAAGTGAGGTTCTTGTGAGGAGTCTTGTGATGGGTCTTGTTGTGATTCGCCGGCAGCCTGTGCAGACGGCAGTGGAATCGGGAAGAACAGGGACCAGTCGGGAGTCTGGAGAAGACTCGGACAAGGGTCCTGCATCCAATGCAGAGATGAGGCCAGGACCATCTGGGAGTGGGGTGCTGACTCCAGAGCCTCTGGAGTCTGGCAACAGCGAGGCAGAGGAACCAGGGGAGCCTGTTCCCAGTGCGCGTGTGCACAGAGCTGCTAGAAGGCAAGAACAGCTAAGACAGATAGTTGGGAGTAAGGCTTGGAGGTGATTGCCCCTTCCAAAAGGTATAAAGGACAGGCAAAAGTGATGAAACCTTTGCAGGAAGCAAAGTCATTCGCTCTGTTCGGAATAAACCTTGAAACTCTGTGTGGACTCTGTACTTCGTTTGGTTTTTTTTTTTTATAGTTCATTTGGCACTCTAGTTGTTGGCAGCAATTGAAAGGAGATAAAGGTGGGTGCTTATCTCAAAGGGACTGTTTGGGACTCTAACGGCTGGGAATGCACATAATTCCCAGCGTTGAAATAAAACAAGAGTTGTTTTAACTAAGTGTGTGCTTAATTATGGTCTTGGGAAGCCTTGGTCAGAACAGGTCTTGTGATAAGGAACTTACTTCAGGTCAGGGGCATTGGGGGGAATTGTGTGGGTTGGTTGAGGGTCGGTTGGCCAATTCTGGTTGGTTTGCGGTTGATTTGGATTCTGAGGGGGTTCATAGGCTGATTGTAGGTCAATGTGTTTGTGCCTGGCACTCCACAAGCAATTCCATTAACAGATGGACTACCAAACTGCCATCTCTTAAGTGGTGCAGCCACGTGATGTCACCTTTAACAGGCACATCACTTACTGACAGAAATTCTGGTCCCAACTTCACTGTAGTTAAGCGAGGACAACCAATAATACAAAACATAAGCAGAAAGCAGATGAGTGACTGAAAATTGAGAGATCCTATCAAAGGAGCCATGTTACAGATCCAGTCACACTCACTCTCGGCCCAGCTCACCTCATGGGGTTGTTGTTGTGGGGAAAATAAGAGGAGGGAGGATGTTAGATAAGTACAGTGCCTTGAATTATTTGTAAATATAATAAAGGTGGGATTAAAAAGGTCCAAAGAAAAAAGAATTATTAGTTTTTGGGGTTAACGTGAAGATTCTCAGAGAGTCTTCATATTGTCACACATTTGGTGTTAACTGACACGATTGTGACATTTTTACATGTTTTTTTTCCTCAGCCAGTACATCGCACTGTGGGTCAGAACAATTATTAACTTCATACTTAGAAGAGACAGCACTAATCTCCGTCAATTATTTATGATTTATTTATTAAATGTACATGCTGTTCATTTCACTATCAAGTGATTCTGGGCGTCATCTCTGTTACTCTTCCTCTTTCCATTCTCTTTGCTTTATTGACATCTTAATTATAGGTAAATAAGCAGGATCGAACTGCAGACGGGCATGCCCTCACCGAAGCGAGGAAGCAGCTAAAAGAGGAAACGCAGTTAAGACTGGTAAGAGGGTTAGTTAGGGCAGAATTACAACTCCTTGTAAGTTCACCCCAGCATAGTTCACCCCAACATAGTCAGCGTACAGCGGTCCTGGAATTTGGAATTTGTCAATTTGACAAAGATCACAGTGTCCATTTTCTGGTTTTGACATTTTGCCCAGTTATTAGAAAAACAATCCCATCATCTGCTGGTCTGCTCTCAGAGAACAGGACAAATGTGGTCAGGTCCCATTTATCTACCAGGCCAAAGGTGTCACAATAGATAGAAGTAGTACTCAACTTAAAACTGGTCACTTAGTGACCGTTCAAAGTTACAATAGACTCCCACCCTCCAAAATGTACTTATGAGTGTTCTGATTTTCCGACAAACCGCCCCACCCCAAAAAAAAGCAAGTCTGCAGGGGGGGGGGGAAGCAACAAGGAGATGGATGGATGGGTAGATAGATAGATAAATAGAGACAGATAAATAGAGATGGATGGGTGGATGGATGGATGGATGGATGGATGGATGGGATGGGGAGGGAGAGAGAGATATGGATGGATGGATGAATGGATAGATAGAGATAGGTAAATAGGGATGGATGGATGGATGGATGGATGGATGGATGGATGGATGGATGGATGGATGGGATGGGATGGGATGGGGAGGGAGAAAGATATGGATGGATGGATGGATAGATATAGATAGGTAAATAGAGAGAGAGAGAGATGGATGGACAGATAGATATAGATCAGTAGATAGATAGATAGATGATAGATAGATAGATAGATAGATAGATAGATAGATAGATAGATAGATACATAGATAGATAGATAGATAGATAGATGATAGATAGATAGATAGATAGATATAGAGAAACATAGAGATGGATGGACAGATAGATATAGATCAGTAGATAGATAGTTGATAGATAGATAGATAGATAGATAGATAGATAGATAGATAGATA